CTGAAGAAAAAACCTCCCAAAAAAAAAAAAAAAAAAAGCCACATGGTAATAGGTACCAAACAAGGTAAACTAGGATATTCTGTAGAAAGGAACTGTTGATCAGGTCTAATATAAATACTTGTCCAAAGGCTCTCCTAAAACCCTAATTTTCCACATAAGGTTTAGCAAAACAGGCTTAAGTCTGATGTTTCCAGTTCAGCATTATCAGCACCTGAATATGAAAACAAATATTTTAAATATTTAATTTTATTTATTATTATTATATTTTTTATTTGACCAGAGAGACAGAGAGAAAGGCAAAGTGAGAAAGCCAGCTGCCAGGTCCGGGACTCAAACAGTGGTCAGCCATGTGGGAGTCTAGCACCTTAACCAGCCATCTGCTGGCCCGAAAACAAAGTTTTAACACAACTTTGCTAGAAGGTCTTCCTGGCCTTTTTGACAACTCAAGATATGTACCTTCTGGCCCAAAAAAGGCAAAATAGAAACCTAGTGTCCAGGGATGCCCAGGACCACTCTGTCCATCCTCATTCCCATGATCTCTACCTAGCTTTGGTCTTCTTCCACACTGTTTAATTCTCCTTGAATATTCTCCAGTTAGGATGTTTATGGATATGGTACTTTAGTTTTCATCTTACAGACTTTGGCTTAGCTGCTGCTTTAGGCTTGCGGACTGCCCACTGCTTCTAGCATACATGCCCTCTTCCAGCTTGTTTCCACTGAACCTAGTCTTGGCTTCTAACCACCCAACTGGCATCTGATATATGAGCTTATGCAGAACAATTGATTCTGACCTGTAGCACTTTATCAGTGTGCCTAAGTGAATGGGCTTCACAATGCATCTGGAGAGTGCTTCAAATACATCTGCCCAGTGTTTCACAATGCATCTGGACAGTGCTTCAAAATGCGTCTGCCTTTATAAAATTAGGTAATAACAGATACTGAATGTTGGTGAATGTCTGCCAAAAACAATTATCTTACTTGTAACGGAATTAACATTGTACGTCTTTTTCTGGTTATTAGACCTTTAAACCCATCTGTCTCTTAAGAACACTCTATGGGAGCAGCAGTTAGCGTAATGGCTATACCTCTGAACTCCCATGTAGTCGACTGTGGTTCGAGTCCTGGACCCGGTGGCTTAAACTCACGCCGGGTGCGTGTGCATGCGTGCCCAAGATCCTGAAAGGAGAATGGAGGAGAAGGGATTGCGGCGTGACCATCTCCCCTGGGGGGTGATTTCTCGCTTTCTGTCTCTCTGTCTCTGTCTGGCGAGTGCACGCGCCCTATAATGAAAACCTCTCAAAAAAAAAAAAAAAAAGAACACACTAATCCATGATGATTTTCCCTTCAGGACTCTAAATTCCCAGGGAGCACGATTAATATCCAGTTCATGTCCAAAATAGATGGTCACTATTTGTTGACTTATTCTCCAACAGCCAAATAAGAGAAAAGCTGGTAAAAAGTTTAAGTTAGCTGTATGACTTGAGAAGAGACACTGTAAATCTACTGAGTAATACGTTTATAAAAATATTTAGGTTTGTTCTCCCAACTGAACAAGGGGAAGAAATGATTCCTAGATTTCTTATTTGGGCAACTGGATGGATGGGAGTAAACCCTGGGAGTGAGAGTCTATATCCAAAGTTCAGCTGAGCACAACATATGTTGAAATGAAAAACTGAACAGTGGGTCCATAAATTAGTAAAAATATAAAAGTTTATTGTTAAATTCATATATTACAAAAATTATCTGTTAAAAGTAAAACCAAAAATGGATATTCACTTAGAAATATATAATATAAAATACCCGTCATATTTTTTTTGTGTGCCTGTTATGAAAAATGTCCACTGTTGTTTCATGACATGGTCTTAAATCAAAATCACAATATCCAATGGAAAAATGACCCTATGAAGAAAAGAAAAGAGTATTATTTAAATTCATACAAAAAGTGTTTTACACTTATCATAATTTTGTCTTACCTGTGGTTTCTTGAAATAATCCAGCCCCCTTCCAATTTTAATAATCCATCCATTGTTGAACCTATGAAAATTAGTAATGTGGTATTATACTCAAGACATTTAAGTCAGTTATTAAAGCTATACTGTAACAAGTATCAGGATATTTAAGTCAGACAGTTATTAATGGTGTAGTGTAATAAGTATCAACAAAACTTCTCCCTAACAAAGAAAACCACTTCCTGCAGGGTCATGAGTTGAATCAAAATTAGGCTTAATCACAGATCGTGTCTATAATGAAACAAAATGGACCTAGAAACAATCACTTGATTTGATTAGCAGATAAAGAGTTTAACAATGAAATTAAAACTTTACTCTTAAATTTCAGTTTGTAGATAAGACTTTCCTGCCCTGGTAATTTGTGGTTGCAAAGTAAATTCAGGGAGACTATTATGGTATTGCAGGGTTTCTCCTGGCCCCTGACCTCTATTTCCACCATAGCAGCTGCAATTTAATCTGTTTTTACATATTTAGATTTTGCTTAAGTTTTTGTTAAGGAGCTAGTAGGTGGTGTGGTGGTTAAGGCACTACACTCCCACATGGCCAACCACCTGACAGCTTGCTTTCTAAATTTCCCTCTGTCTCTCTCTGTCTCTGGTGAGTGAATGTATCCTACAGCAAATTTTAAAATAATAGTAAATAAATAAAATAAATAAGTCTCAAAATTTTTTTTCATTAAAACAAGGTGCTTTTGCTATAAATGTGAAAAACACTGTGCTGAACAGAGTGAGGATATTACTGAAATAACAGCATATACTTTTTTTTCTTTTTTTAGAGATTTTTGCTATAGGGCATGTACGCTTCATGGAAAGAGAGACAAAGAACAAGAAAGCAAAATATCCCTCTCCGGGGCGGTGGGGATAGCCCATCATAATTCCTTCTCCATTTTCTTCTCGCGACTTTGGGCATGCACGCATATGTGTATGACATTAGTTTCAAGCTGCCACATCTGGGATGCAAACCACAATCAGCGATGTGAGAGACCAGCGCCTTAACCACTATACCACCTGCTGGCCCGTTTTCTTTCTTTCTTTTTTTGAGAAGTTTTTGCTATAGGGCGTGCGCACTCGCCAGAAAGTCACAGAGAGACAGAGACAGAAAGCGAGAAATTACCCCCCAGGGGGGATGACCACACCGCAATCCCTTCTCCATTCTCCTCTCGGGATCCTGGGCATGCACACACACGCGCCCGCTGTGAGTTTTAAGCCACCCAGTCTGGGACTTGAACCACTGTTGACTACATGGGAGTCCAGTGACATAGCCATTATGCTAACTGCTGGTCCCACGGCCCCTGTTTTCTTATAGACTCAGCATACTTTCATATCCTACTAGAATATTTAATAACCCATAAGAAGTAAAACCACATTAAGTAAATATTAATTTGGGGACTAGGTGGTGATGCAGTAGTAACACAACTGGACCCTAATGGAAAAGGTCCTGGGTTCAAACCCCAGGACCTCCTTGAGCATGTTGAGCATAAACATGATATCATCTGGCTGGCTGAGATTTGGTGGATCATGGCATGAAGAATCTGTTGGGGGGTGCCTCTCTCCTAATAAACAAAATTTATTTTGTTTCTCTTTCTTTCTCTCTCTCTAATAACATTTTATTTAATTACTTATTTTTAGGTTTTATTCCATAGGGCACATGCGCTCACCAGAGAGAGACAGGGGGAGGGAAAATGAGAACTCATCCCCCCCCAGGGGCTTGGCCACACTGCGATCCCTTCTGCTCCATTCTCCTGTCAGGAATTTGGACATGCATATATACCCAACATGATTTTCAAGTGCTGAGTCCAGAACTTGAACTGCATTTGGCCATGTTGTGGTCTAGCACCTTAGCCACCATGCCACCTGTTGGCCCCAATAAACAAACATTTTTAGAAGGAAGATTTAATAGTAGAAAAGGAATTATCCAACATCATGATACTATTTTTATACTTAAGTAGAACAGTATTTCTTCTCACATGACACAACAAGTATTAATAAATTTTTTTAGGGAGATTTTTGTTATAAGAGTGCATGTGCTTGTCAGAGAGACATAGAGACAAAAGTGAGAAATCACCCCCCAGGGAGGATGGCCAAGCCTTTCTCCTCCATTCTCCTCTCAGGATTTTGGGTATGCATGCACACACTCCTGGTGTTTTAAGCTGCCAGATTGGGAAATCAAACCACGGCTGACTATGTTGGAGTCCAGTGACATAATCATTATGCCATCTGCTAGTCCCAAACACGTATTAGTAAATTTTACTCTACTAGGAAATATGATATCCATAGGACAAAATAAGCAAAATTTTTTTGTTTCCTCAAAAGTACTAAATAAAGCTTTATTTTAATTTCTTAAAAGAATTATTTACTTAATTTTATTTATAATTATAATTTCTTAATTTGACCAGAGAGAGAAAGAGAGAGGGAAAATGAGAAAGCAAGCCTCCTGGTCTGGGACTTGAACTACAGTCGGCTCAATGGGAGTAAAGCACCCTAACCACCATACCACCTGCTGGCCCCTTGACTTTTTCATATTTAAATGTACTGTTTATATGCAATTATATAAAACTTACTAAGATAAATTTTTAAAAATATATTTCAACTTCACAAAATAAAATATTTTAGGGACCAGCAGTTAGTGTAATGGCTATGTCACTGGACTCCCATGTAGTTGACCATGGTTCAAGTCCCGGACCTGGTGGCTTAAACTCATGCTGGGTGCATGTGCGTGCGTGCCCAAGATCCCGAGAGGAGAATGGAGGAGAAGGGATTGCAGCATGGCCATCCCCCCTGGGGGGTGATTTCTCGCTTTCTGTCTCTGTCTGTCTCTGTCTTTCTGGCGAGCACATGTGCCCTATAGCAAAAACATCTCAAAAAAATAAAATATTTTACACTAACCTAATTTCTCGATCATGTATAGAAGAAGAGTATTCTACTTCCAGCTGCACTCCATGACTCCAGAGTGAATCTTTTATTTCTTTCAGGCCACTACTTTGTGGCAAAGCACGGCCCTGTTAATAGCAAAAATAAAATCTTATGCTTGGTTATTAATATTTTAAATTATCACTAAGCCACACATGTATACCTTAGGTGGGTTAAACTGGAAAGGTTCTCTAACATTGTAGTTTCAATGTATGTTTTCTCTAAGAAGCAACCAAAGAATGTGAAGTAGTTTAAAGAACTTTTTCCCCCCTCAATTTGCTATAGAGTGTGTGTGCTCACCGAGGGAAAACAGAGAAACAGAAAACATGAGAAATCACCCTTCAGAGGGGATGACCATGGCGCAACCCCTTCTCCATTTTCTTCTCGGGATTTTGAGTATACACGTACAAGCATCCAGCTGTTTTTCAAGCCTCTGGGTCCAGGACTCATACTGCACAGTCAGCCATGTGGGATCCAGTCACCTTAGCCATCACATCAACTGGCTGGCCCAAGAATGGTTGTTTTTATCAAAGTAATTTTTTTTTCCCTAATGTGAACATATAAATCCTATATGGTTCAATGTATTTTAGTAATGATTTTAGTTATCTAGGTGGGGCTGCCTTCTCAAATCAATCCTAGAAATTATGATAATTCGAAAGCATTCCTATTAAGATAAAGATGCCCACTGTCATGTTGTTATCCCTCCAATTAATAATTGGCAAAAAGGTAAAATTGTCAGTAGCTGAGTGTGATCATGTCCTAGAACATCTAAGAGAATGAATTGACAGACTATTTGCATTAATAAGAGTTTAGCAAAGTAGCCAAATATAAGGTCAGCGTCCTAAAATCAGTAACATTTTTCTCAAGATGTGCTATGCCTGTTCTTAGATAATAAGTTAATTCCCAGTGAAATAAGATCTAGCTGAAGCACTGCATCCAAGTTTTCCTTGATCAGACTACATCTTGTAACTGGATAAAGTTAAAGTAAGAATTTTCAGATACCTACCTCCAGAGAGGTGAGAAGGTGAATAGTTTTTACTTTACATGGTTTCTTAATAAGCATCTCACAAAATCGAAGAAAATTATACAGCTGAAAGATATTAGGATGGGTTATTACTAAAGAATACATTTCAGATAGTATTTCATTATGTTTTAGAACATTTCACTTACCTGATGAGTCTGTCTGATATAAGGATCTTCTATCCAAACCTCTGTAACAGTTTCATTAAGGTATTCTTGAAAAAGTGACTCATAACTGAAACCTGTTGCATTATCTTCTATTTTAATTTGCTTGTGATATTTTCCATCTACAAAATATATTTCAGTAATACTAGTAACTACTAATTAAAAATATTTTATATTTCATATGTAGTGATTGATTAGGACCAGGTACAAATGAATCTTATTCAGCAAACATTTATTGAATGCCTGCTATATGCCACATACACCACAGGTGCTATACATACCAATACATAAGGCAAACTATTTGAGTGGTTTTTGCCTTTATGAAGGCTAGGCAAGAGCAAAAGTCCAGTGGTTTCCTAGAACAGGTTCTTGAGGCAAATCCTATACAACACTCAGCTTATTCAAGGGAGGATTATGCAAAGGTATAGTAGTGTCCCCCTTAGCCATGAGAGATCTAGGCACCCAATGGATGCCTGAATCCACAGATAGGACTGTCTATATTTTTTCAATCTGGGAATAACAGGCAATTACTAAGTGACTCATGGGCAGGTAGCATATACAATGTGCATATGCTGGATAAAGGGACGGCTCATGTCCAGGGTGGGACACAATTTAAAACTTAGGAATTGCTTATTTCTGCAGCTTTCCATTTAATATTTTCAAGTCTCATTAACTGCAGGTAACTAAAAGCAGGCAAAGCAAGACTGCAGATAAGGGGGAACTGCTACACCTGATAACTCTGTCACCAATAGGAAGAACTACAAGCTAAGTGACTCCCTGGTTCTGGTCATTCAGACTTGTCTTTTTGTGTCTTGCAATTTAAGAACTAAAGTGAGTAGTAAACATAAATGCAGTATAACATAGTATTTAGAAGTCTTTCTTAGCACTGGTAGAGTGTCGTAAGTAGAAATTTATTATACTTCCTGTAACTGTAGCGAAAGCCTGGGATGTCACAGGATCGACAGGATATCCCATTCACAATGAGTAATTATTGAATAAGTTATCAGAGACCTTTAGGTTTGTAAAATATATGGAACTACCTAATGGCAGTTCCTAATTTATGTGGAATTGCATTTTATACTTTGCTTAAAATCAGTAGTTTGGATTCTGTTCTAAATATTTCCATGGAGATAATGTTAGCAACTATGCATCAGTTTCCAACATAGCTAGCCACTTTATGTTAATTTCATTCAGTAAATCCAAACATCAATGCCGATGGTACTGTCAATGTTTTGGAGGCAGATTTCATCCTAACTTTCAATATGGAATAAAGGAAGCATAATTTTTTTTTTTTCTAAGAGAGGTTTTTGCTATAGGGTGCATATGCTCACTGGAGAGAGACAGACAGAAAGCAAGAAATCACTTCCTGGGGGGAGACTATGCTGCAATCCTTCCTCCTCCATTCTCCTTTTGTGATTTTGGGCACGCATGCACACATGCCCAGCGTGGGTTTTAAGCCTGGGTCTCAGACTCAAACTGTGGTCAACTACATGGGAATCCAGCGACATAACCATTATACCATCTACTGGTACCAAGGAAAGACAATTTTAATCCCACTTACCAAAGGAGCTCAGAGGGGTCCTCAGGCTGTGGGTTGGTACAGAATACTAGGAAGAGGTGGGAGAGAGTTGAAGGAAGGACAGAAAAGGAATAACAGAGAAGCTGGAAACACGAGCTGAAGGAACTGTCATAGTAATTCACATACACATTTTCTACAACAGCCTCTTTACCTTCTTTTTCTTGATCCAAGTATTTCTTTATGTTTTCTGCTCTATCCATGTAGCTAGAAATTTTTTCTCTGAGATTACATTTCTTGGTAGAATCTTTGGTGCCTATAAATTTAAAAATATATAGTTTTTGAAGTTTCAAAACAGTTTCTGTTTAGTTGAAACTTATGTTCAGTCTTCTGCTTTCCCCAAATTTCTTACCCTTTATGGTTTTTCTCACTCCTAAAGTACACAGGTGATAGGCTCAAAATTGGCTTGAATATGTTGGCTCTTCATTTTTACACTAAGCATATGAAGCAGCTTTGTTTAGAAGTGGGGATAGACACTGTGTCTCACCTCTGGGACACCAAGTCTGGTGGAGTAAAAAGGGTGGCTTATTCCCTATCAAACGTGAGTCAGCACTCTTTTTTAAATTTTTTTTCTTCTTTTTTTTTTTTTTTTTTTTGGAGAGATTTTCACTGTAGGGCGCGTGCACTCGCCAGACAGACAGAGAGAGACATAGAGACAGAAAGCGAGAAATCACCCCCCAGGGGGGATGGTCACGCCGCAATCCCTTCTCCTCCATTCTCCTCTCGGGATCTTGGGCACGCACGCACACGCGCCTGGCGTGAGTTTTAAGCCACCGGGTCCGGGACACGAACCACTTCTAAACAAAGCTGCTTCATATGCTTCCTTCCAACCTCATGTTTTCCACGGTGGGAGTCCAGCGACATAGCCATTACGGTAACTGCTGGTTCCCAAGTCAGCACTCTTTTATCTGGATACCTTCAAGTTTGAAATTTTAGCATAATTAAAAGATACCAAAGAATATCTGCCTTACACAAAACCAGCTTCTCTTTCAGACTCCCCATTACAATTAATGCTCATTTTTCCAGTAACCCCAAAATATGTTATTCTTTAATATAAATTATTAATAAAATCTTACTCTTACCCCTTTCCCTCCCAATTAGTCACCAGTCATTTGTTCTCTTCCATCCCTCTCCCTCCCTCCCTCCTTCCTTCCAACCTCATGTTTTCCATGGTAATTTCATTTTTTAATCTCTAATTTTTTAACATTTTGTATTAATTTTGTATTTATAGAAAAGTTGCAGAAAAGGTACAGAGAGTTAGTTCCCTTCATTCAGATTCTCCTAATGCTAATAGATTACATAAACACAGTACAGTTACCACAGAACCTCATGTTTTCCATGGTAATTTCATTTTTTAATCTCTAATTTTTTAACATTTTGTATTTTTGTATTTATAGAAAAGTTGCAGAAAAGGTACAGAGAGTTAGTTCCCTTCATTCAGATTCTCCTAATGCTAATAGATTACATAAACACAGTACAGTTACCACAGCTAGGACATTTACACGGACATGCTACTATGAACTCATCTACAAACCTTATTTGAATTTTGCCAATTTCCTCACTATGGACGTTTGTTTTCTGGTGCAGGATCCTACATTTCATTTGGTTGCTGTATCTCTCTTAGTCTCCTACAATCTGTGATTAGCTTTTCTTTGCCTTTTAAGACCTGACATCTAGGAAGAGTACTGGTCAGTTACTTGGTCAGTAGAATGTCTCTCATTTGGGGCTTTAGGTGGTTCTCATGAATGGACTGAACTTAAGCTTTCTGGCAAAGATTACAATCACGGAAGTGACGTCCCCTTCTCTGCCAGTACATAATGTGTGTGTGTGTGTTTAAAATACCACTGGCTTATACTATTTTTATTGACAAGGTTTATAAGAATGAATTAAACATTTAAAACCAAAGGCCAATGGTCAGGTCTCATTTAATTACTTATTCCCTTCATTTGTAGTAAGTATACTTTTCCCTAAATGTCTTATATCAAGAAACAAGTTGAACCTGTGAAAACAGCTGTGCCACGTACATAATTTTTCTGTTTATGATGCAAATATTTTTAAAGACTCAGTTAGCATTGTCCAACTCTGTCATAAGCACTTTTCACTTTAAAAATCAGAGGCAGATTATATAATGTTTCACTTTAAAAATCAGAGGCAGATTATATAATGAACTGATTGCAGTCAGTTTAAAAGACAAAATTAATTTCATTTTGGAGTGGTCTACAGGTTGATCACCTAGAATCCTGACTGGCCGAAATTTAAAATACAATAATCTGATTCCATAATATATTTCTTAAGTGTTAAAAATGTATATAAATGGGGGCTGGCAGGTGGCATGATGGTTAAGATGCTGGACTTCCACATAGCTGATCATGGTTCGAGTTCAGGACCTGGAGGCTTGCTTTCTTGCTTTTTCTTTCTCTCCCCCTGTCTCTCTGGTCAAATTTTAAAAATAAATAATAATAACAAATACAATTTTAAAAACTTATATAAACGCTTCTGAGAAACACATTGTGAGAGAAACACACTATTGCCTTCTGGCATATAGCAGATGCTTTTGTCCTAATTATGAAGGTGGCCAGGTTTTGTGGTAATATCCTTATTTCATATAGGCAAAGGCACTTAATAAAAATCAATTAATTTATAAACCAAATATGCTTGTACTGAGTCTCACCGTTTCCCCAAAGTTTTGAAGCTTTGATGTGCTGGTCTGTCCTTAATATAAAATTCTTCCATAGACATTTAGAGTTAACACTAACACTATATACATACTGATGATACATTCAAGACAGAGCAAGGGACTGCTCCTTCAGTGTCCCACCACCAGACTCTGCCTTTCTCTGCTCCGTCACCCAACCTGGCTGAACAGTGACATTCGACATCTCACACCTGCCTGTGTTAGTTTAAAAAGGGATCTGCACAAAACAAAAAACTTTATATACAACAAATTGGGTTTTTTAAAATATAAAAATAGTAATGTCACTTTTGTCATGCTGAGAATTTGACACATATATACATGCAAGAGAATAGTTTGAATTTAGTCATCTGGACAGCTGTAGCCTGTGTATTTCTAATATACTGAACATACTGCCACTGACAGGAGAGATGTGTATTCAAAATATTTCATATACCAAATACTGCAATAGTCTCTGCATGTATGCTAGTTAGAACAGTTTTTATTCTACTTGATTAAAAGTATGTCTTAAGCAAGCTATTATTAAATAGACTAAAACCCACAACAATTCAAGAATCTTTCACCTGGGACCAGCAGATGGCGTAATGGGTATATCACTGGACTCCCATGTAGTCAACTGCAGTTCGAGTCTTGGACCTGGCAGCTTAAACTTCATGCCAGGTGTGTGTGTGTGAGTGTGTGTGTGTGTGTGCGCACATGCCCAAGATCCTGAGAGGAAAATGGAGAAGCACGGATTGTGGCATGGCCATTCCCCCTGGAGGGTGATTTCTCACTTTCTTTCTCTCTAGCAAGCACACATGCCCTAAACCAAAACTCTCTCTTAAAAAAAAAAAAAAAAAAGGAATCTATGACCTAATATAAAGAAATCCAAAATGTACAAAGTACAACTATAAAAGCAAGGGACAGTTTCTTTCTTTTTTTTTTTTTTTTTTTTTTTTTTTTGAGGGT